AGGGGAAGCTAGCCTAGAGCACCAGACAAAGACTCTTCCCTTGCTCTTCCAGTGACTTCAACATTTTCCATTCCTTCTTAGCTCTTAATCTGTCTCTGGTCTCTGGTCTCTGGCTTTCAGTCTCTGTCTCTGTCTCTGTCTCTGTGTGTGTGTGTGTGTGTGTGTGTGTGTGTGTGTGTTTATGCACATAGAGGTCAGGGACAACCTCAGGTGTCAGCCCTCAGACACCAAGTAGGCGCGGCCATCCAGTCAGCAAGCCTCCAGGGATCCCTCTCTCCCTCCCATTGCACGGTGGCTGGAACTAGACAGTCCCACCACTGCACTTGATCTTTATCCATATAGATTCTGCGTATCTGTACTTAGGGTCTAATGCTTGTGAGGCGAGCGCTTTACTGACTGCTCCCCTCAGGCCTAAATCCTTTTCTGAGATAGGAAGGCATGTATTTCAGACTAGACTTATTATAGGCAGTGGAGGAGGACCTCAACTTCTTACCATCCTGTTTCTACCTTCCTAGTGCTGGGAGGACGGGCCTTCGCCACCATGCCCAGTGCTGTTTGTCAAGGCTTTGCATGTCTTATGGAAGCACTCAACCGAAATCGTGTCACTGAGGTATTCCTCCCTGGATCCATCTTTCACTTTTATTCACTCCAGGAAGGAACACACTATCAAAACTGATATTCTCTTGAGAAACAGGCATTTTTTGATTTAACTGTTCGTGTTTTAACATGATCAGTGACAGATCATGTGCTTTGCATGTATAGTCATCACCTCAGTCCCCAATCCTGGAAACAATGCTGCTAGGTTTCCATAGTAACATCTCACGAGTAATGCTACACAAAAAGGGTCAAAAACCAGAGTGAGGAGCCCCAAGAAAAGTCTGAAAGACAAAGGCTTCAGAGACCTGCTTGCCACCTTTCAGTTTCTCACTCCGCGCTCCCTTAATGTCTTTCCTGTTCAGATTGTTTTCTCAATCTGTAGTCCGTTGCCTTTTGATGGTCTTTTTTTTTTTCCTTTTTTTTTTTCTTTTTTTGTTTTTCTGGAGCTTGGGAGCCTGTCCTGGAACTAGCTCTTGTAGACAAGGCTGGCCTTGAACTCACAGAGATCCACCTGCTTCTGCTTCCCCAGTGCTGGGATTAAAGGCATGTGCCACCACCGCCTGGCTGATGGTCTTGTATTTCTAAAAGCACCTTTAGAATTTATGTTTAAAAAAGATAATATACAGGGCTGGAGAGATGGCTCTGTGGTTAAGAGCGTTGCCTGCTCTTCCAAAGGTCCTGAGTTCAATTCTTAGCAACCACACGGTGGCTCACAACCATCTGTAATGAGGCCTGGTGCCCTCTTCAGGCATGCACGTAGACAGAATATTGTATACATAATAAATAAATATTTTTAAAAATAAAAAAGATGATATAAAAAGATAGCAAGATGAATATATAAAATACCAACACAGCATATTTTGCATTATGTGGACTAACACACTTTTGGATGGCCTTGAGTTTACATTTACAATTGAACTGGTCTCCAAGTATAAAGTTAGAGCATTTGACTTTTGAGGTCCCTTGAACTCCCAAAATCTGTAAATGTAAGGAGTTCACAATTACAAGCCTCAGTCCCCTCCTTCCTTTTTTCAGTGTTGAGCACTGAACCCTGAGCCTCATGTCCCATAGGCAAGCGCTCTACCACTAAGCTGCACCCCTAGTCCCTTACTGTTCTGTTTCTTGTGGTTTAAAGACCTTTGCCTAAAGCACCTTTGTCTTTTTAAGCACATTCTTCTTCCCTTAGGAAAGGCGAATGGAAATAAACAGTTTTTAAAATGATTGACATTTGGCAATTTTTTTTTATTTTTATTTTTTGTTTTTTTTTTGTTTTTTTGTTTTTTTTTTAAAGTAAATTTCATTAAGTTATAAAAGTTTCCATTTCCGCCCCTCTTCCCAACACCCTCCCACTCCCCCCACTCCCTCTCCTCCTCCCTCTTCATCCCTTAGGGCAGTCAGGGTTTCCTGCCCTGTGGGAAGTTCAAGTTCCTCCCCCCTCCCTCCAGGTCCAGGAAGGTGAGTATCCAAACAGACTGGATCCCCAAAATCCAGAATATGCAGAGGAAACAGGTCCCAGTATCATAGTCAATGGCTTTTCAGAAAGACTTCGGGCCAGCCACATTCAGAGAATCCGGCCAAATTCCGAGAATCTGGTTAGATCACGTCCTCGTTCAGTCCCAGTCCAACTGGCCTTGGTAAACTCTCATTAGATCCGTTTCCTTGTATCAGTGGGTGATAGCATCCCTCGCAGTACTGATTTCGTTTTTCATGTTCTTCCTCCTTCTGCTCCTCATTTGGACCTCGGGGGGCTCAGTCCGGTGCTCCAATGTGGGTCTCCGACTTTATCGCCGTCCTTCGCCAGATGAAGGATCTATGGTGATAAGCAAAATATACATCAGTATGGTTATGGGCCACGACCGATTCAGGCACCCTCTCCTCTGTCCAGAGAACAATCTGGGGGATCTCTCCTTGGACCTGGGATCCCATATATAATCAAGTCTCCTGTAAACCCTAAAATGACTCCCTTAGTTGAAATATATTCTTCCCTGATCCCATATTCATCCTTCCTCCCTCCCCCCCATCCCAGGCCACCGAGCTTTCCCCATTCCTCCCCTACTCCCTTCTCTCTAACCCTCTCCCCTTCCATCAACCCTCCCACCCCTCCCCATGCACCCGAGGTTACCTGGGACTCTTGTCTATTTCCTACCTCCTGGTGGATAGCTAAATAATCTTCATCAGGTTCATCTTCTTATTTAGCTTCTCTAGGATCACGAATAATAGGGTCTTTGAGCCCATTTGGCAATTTTCTTATATTTTGGGTTGTGAACCTAGCCTTTAATGGCTGAGCCGTCCCTCCAGGCTTGGCAGTTTTCTTTGATAGTCAACCAATTTGAAAAAAAAATGTCACTGGAAAATCAAAGCAACATAGCAATCCTTGGATATGTTGTGGGAACTGCCAAGTGAGTCACAGTGGTTATTTTCTGTTCACAGCCACTGAATCCCATGCCTTTACTCTTTGCTGCTTCCCATGTCTTACTAATCCTTGCTATTAAATATGCTGTGTGCTATTGAGATTACTTCTCAGGCCAGTCCCTCAAGTACACATGCAGGAACTGATTCTATCCTACGTTTGATAATCCAGGTTTTGGCAGTTGACACTTTAAAAGGAGTGAAAGATGTGGTTGGTAACTCAGGCCAGTTATCCCAGCACTTGGGAGACACAGAAAGGAGAATCAGAAATTCAAGGTTATCTCTGTTCCATAGAGCATTCAAGGCCAGCCAGGATACAGGAGACTCTCAAAGCAAAACAGAAAGAAAAAATAAATCAGAATCACAAGATAGCCTATGAATATGTGAGCATAATGTGTTGGTCCTTAGAAGTGCATTATTCTGGTTAGGGAGAAAAGTTTACATGTGCCCTTTAGTGTCTATTACCTCTCTGGCTTTACTGGCTTCCCAGTGCCTCATTTTCCCCCCCCCATTATTATTTTATTAGCTACTTTTGTCTTTCTCCCATTTTGTTTCAGGCAATCCATTTTTTTTTTTTGCGGGCATAATATGAAATTTAATAGGACTTTTATTTCATCCTTAGCATTTATATGGATACTTAATAGATGCAGGGTTTTTTTGTTATTAACATTTGTGCAGAGAAGTTGGCACTTTTAGGGTTTTCTTTTTGAGACAGTCTTATTATGTAGCTCAAGCTTGTTCTGGAAGTCTGGAAGTCCTATTATAAGTAACCCAGGCTGACCTTGCAACCCTTCTACCCCCATCTCTGATGTACTGGGGTATATTCAGATTTTTTTATTTATTTATTTGTTTATTATGTATACAGTGCTCTGCCTGCATGTATCCCTGCAGTCATCCCTGGTGTACTGGGATATATTCAGCTTTCTTATTTATTGATTGATTGATTGATTATGTATACAGTGCTCTGCCTGCATGTATTCCTGCAGCCCAGAAGGGGGCACCAAATCTCATTACAGAAGGTTGTGAGCCACCACGTAGTTGCTGGGAATTGAACTCAAGACCTTTGGAAGAGCAGGCAGAGCTCTTAGCCACCGAGCCATCTCTCTAGCCCTATTCAGCTTTTCTTATTTTGTCTGTTTTGCTTTTTCGAGACAGGGTTTCTTTGTGTAACAGTCCTAGCCGTTCTGGAGCTAGCTCTAGTAGGCCAGGCTGGCCTCGAACTTACGAACTCATAGAGATCCACCTGCCTCTGCCTTCCAAGTGCTGGGATTAAAGGCGTGTGCCACCACTGCCAGGCTAGCTTTTTTTTTCTTTTCTTTTTCTTTTTTAAAAATATTTAATATGTATACAATATTCTGTCTGTGTGTATGCCTGCTGGCCAGAAGAGGGCACTAGACCTCATTACAGATGGTTGTGAGCCACCCTGTGGTTGCTGGGAATTGTACTCAGGACCTTTGGAAG